TGTAATACGTTATTTCTGAGCCTCTTTCGCCCAGTATTGAATAATTATCGGAAACTTTATGTTCCTTAATTTCTTCATCGGAAGCTTTATGTTCCTTAATTTTTTCGTCGGAAGCTTTATGTTCCTTGACCTTTTTATCGGAAGCTTCATGTTTTTTAATTTTTTCATCGGAAGCTTTATGTTTCTTAATTTCTTCATCGGAAACTTTATGTTCCTCAATTTTTTCATCGGAAGCTTTATGTTCCTTAATTTCTTCATCGGAAGCTTTATGTTCCTTAATGTTTTCATAGGAAGCTTTATATTCCTTGACCTTTTTATCGGAAGCTTTATGTTTTTTAATTTTTTCATCGGAAGCTTTATGTTTCTTAATTTCTTCATCGGAAACTTTATGTTCCTCAATTTTTTCATCGGAAGCTTTATGTTCCTTAATTTCTTCATCGGAAGCTTTATGTTCCTTAATTTTTTTATCGGAAGCTTTATGTTCCTTGACCTTTTTATCGGCAGCTTTATGTTTTTTAACTTTTTCGTCAGAAGCTTTATGTTCCTTGATCTTTATATCGGAAGCTTTATGTTCCTTGATGCCAATTTTTGTATGGGCTAGTTTTTTGGAAACTTTATGTTCCTTGATTCCAATTTTTGTATAGGCTGGTTTTTTGGAAACTTTATGTTCCTTGATGCCAATTTTTGTATCGGCTGGTTTTTTGGAATTTTTTTGTTCCTTGGTTTTAATTTGTTTAGTAATTTTTTATTACATTTATTTCTTAAATCGCCGGTAAATTTATCGGTTACCTTGGAAACTTTCTGTTCCAAAGGATTTATATTTGTTGCATGAATATTAATGTTCATGCTATTTTCGACACGTCGATATGCGCCTCAATCTTTTTCAACAGAGTATACCCCAAAAGGAGATCTAATTCCATGTTTTCTATTTCATAAAAACCTGTTTGACTCCAAATAGACTTATCAAATGGTAATATTTAATGATTGAATAACCAGTGTTTACCTTTTTGTAAATGGCTAATTCGTTCCTATTTTCATATACCTCCTGCCTAATATAACATGAGGTAGCCCCTGTATCGACAAGAGCTTTTAAATGTCTGCCTAATTTGGCATCATAGAGGTTGATGTAGGTGACGACAACCCCTCTTCCTCTAAAAAATGGCTTTCGTTTAAATTGTTTACCCTTTGCGTTTTTTCCTGCGGACGAAAGCTATGGTTGCTTACTCTTGGTCGCTTCGGAGCATGAGCATTTTGGGTTTGACGGCCCAAATTTTTATTGGCTGCAATAGCACTCGTGCTAGCCGTATTTGGGTTGTATTTCATGAAACCATTATTTTGTTGCGGTTTGGTAACAATATTTTTCCGGAATCTTCATAGCGATGGATCTATATCCATCGGTTCTGCTTTAGTCATGTTGTTCCTTAATGGGAACCTCAAGTTATTACTTGAGAATTTTGGTAACCTAGCTCTTATTTTTTCATTTGCAAAATTTTGCGCAAATAATGCTCTCTGATTGTTTGATTCGAGCTCCTGTGCTTTTTCCAAAGCATCAGGAAAATCTTGCGGGTTAAGCGAAAAAATTATCTCTCTTAATGGCGCATTGAGTCCTGTTATAAAAATTCTTAGGGCATGATCCCTATTCTTCTTATTAAGCTCTTTAGTTATATCCGACGCATTGTCATGGGTCATTATTGTTTTGCTTATTAATAAAGTCAATTTTTTGTTGACCAGGTTGTAATATTCTACAACCGGCATTACGGCTTGTCGAAATACGCTTAATTCCTGCTCAATAATGTGTATCGGGTGTTTTTCCGAGTACGCGAAGTCAAGGCGAGCGACTATCGCATCGAAATTTAACACGGTGCCGTGGTTTGTTAGGACATCTTTCGCGTCCTGAGTTACTTTTTTTTCTCAAAATCGTGCTGCGAAGTATTTTCTACTGCTTCTCACGTACAGGCTCATTGCGTTATGAGCTGTTTCTTTCCAGCAAACATACGCGTTTATTTTTCCCAAAAATTCGGGTAGTGATGTTATCACGTCAAAGGACTCCTGGCACGCTATATTTTCATAATTGTTTCGGCTTCATAATCTGTAGCCCAACGAGTATTAACTTCTAGTTGTGAACGTAAATGTTCAATTTCTTGCCTTAGGCCTATATTGCTATTAGCGATTAATCTTGTAATAAGATCAACTGTCAAGTCACCGTTCGCCATATTTCTGTTTGGTATTTTAATTTTTTCTGTATTCGAAAAAAATAAATATTCTTTTATGTCTTCTAACGTTTTTTGTTAAGGTATCGGCAGTTACTTATTTTGTGAGTCCCTTGGCATTATTCGCAATAATACAATCGTTCGTATTTGGGTTTGCTGGGACTATTGCCCATTAAAATATTTTTTATATTTTTTGTTTTATTGTTGATCCCTTCTAGGAAAGGAGGCTTTTATACTCTGGAGGGTCTGGAGTTCAGAATCGCAGACTTAAGCTTATGTTATAGACCGAAGTTTTTGGTAATTTATTGGCTGTACCAGCCGTATTTTATATTTATTTTTCGAATCATTGCCACTGATTCCTCTTCAAGGGTTTCTTTATTATCGTAGTTCGCTGCAGTCGCTATTTTATTTTTACCAATAAATCTGAACCCTTTTTCCATACACTTCACTTTCTTTTCGTCAGTTAGTATATCCTTCCAAAAAAAATTTTCCATCTGTTGGTGCAGCTTTCTCAGTAAACTCGTGAGTGTTTATTGCAAACTCTAAGTTGTCTACAATTCTATTTATCTCATCGTAGTCTAAACCTACTGGTAAAGCGTCTGTCATATTTACTTAATTGTTGTCCTATTTTTTATCTAATTTCAAGCACTTTTTATAGCCACTAACACAATATTCACAATAATATATATAATTAATATATGTAGATATCGATATAACTTGCTCCTAAGCTATTGATGACTTAGGGCTGCTTCCTTTGATCCTTGTTGATGTTCTGGCTGATGGCTGATTATCCCTTAATTCCAGGTGAAACAGTTTGTCGTTCCTACCTGGTGACTGTAGCTGTCGTCCTTGAAGTTATCGTCCTTGCTTCGTGATTGTAGTTATCAATTTATATTTTTTTTATTTGTGATCCCTTCTATGAAGGGAGACTCTTCTATTCTGGAGGGTCTGGANCTCAGTAAACTCGTGAGTGTTTATTGCAAACTCTAAGTTGTCTACAATTCTATTTATCTCATCGTAGTCTAAACCTACTGGTAAAGCGTCTGTCATATTTACTTAATTGTTGTCCTATTTTTTATCTAATTTCAAGCACTTTTTATAGCCACTAACACAATATTCACAATAATATATATAATTAATATATGTAGATATCGATATAACTTGCTCCTAAGCTATTGATGACTTAGGGCTGCTTCCTTTGATCCTTGTTGATGTTCTGGCTGATGGCTGATTATCCCTTAATTCCAGGTGAAACAGTTTGTCGTTCCTACCTGGTGACTGTAGCTGTCGTCCTTGAAGTTATCGTCCTTGCTTCGTGATTGTAGTTATCAATTTATATTTTTTTTATTTGTGATCCCTTCTATGAAGGGAGACTCTTCTATTCTGGAGGGTCTGGAATTCAGAATCGCAGAATTGAGTTGAGTCATAAACTGGTTTTATTTATGTTATTGGCTGTACAAGCCTTTATTTATCGCGGCTAATCGTTTACAGGGTATTTTTAAAATGCGCGATTCTTTATTTTGTGATTTCGAAACACTGGCGGTTAATCTTTAAGGATACTTTCTTTTTTCTCCTATTACAGGATTGAAACGCGCGATTTTTTATTTCGTGAATTGGAAAAACTCGCGGCTAATCCTTTAGGATACTTGTTTTTTTCTCCTATTACGTTGATTGAAACGCGCGAGCCCCACGTTGAGCGCCAATAATGTTTCCTCGTTTGGGTAACAGTAAAATAATATGTTTTGATCCGTGACGTCGCGGATTAATTAAAACACGGTTTGAGTTAGTTCCACGCTTGGAAAAAGACTGCTCTTTATTTTCAATCTTAGCTTATTTATATACTTGCACTTCGTACTCGATACCCATGAAGTACTTGTACACGCATATCGAAGTACAAAAAATACTCGGTACTAGAGTATATACTTCTAAGTACTGGTATCGGAACATCACTAAGCGCGGCCTACGCCGAAAGGAGTTCTGCGCAAAAATACTTCCGCCCCCTTTTCCGGCAACACAGAGAGGAGAATTCTACTTAGTAAGGGTTATAATCCCTAAGCGCGGCCGAAGGCCGTCTACGCGAAAGAAGTTTGTTTTCATTCATGTATTTACTATTTCGGTTTTCGTCATATGCATTATTTAGGTTTTGAGACGAAACTGTGCATGTATGCATTACTTCGGTTTTTGTCGTTTGCATAATTCGGTTTTGAACCGTAACTGTTCATGCAAATTATATTTCCCCGTTTGGGAAACAGTAAANCTTTTCCGGCAACACAGAAAGGAGAATTCTACTTAGTAAGGGTTATAATCCCTAAGCGCGGCCGAAGGCCGTCTACGCGAAAGAAGTTTGTTTTCATTCATGTATTTACTATTTCGGTTTTCGTCATATGCATTATTTAGGTTTTGAGACGAAACTGTGCATGTATGCATTACTTCGGTTTTTGTCGTTTGCATAATTCGGTTTTGAACCGTAACTGTTCATGCAAATTATATTTCCCCGTTTGGGAAACAGTAAAAAAATATGTTTTGATCCGCGGCCTCGGGGATTAATTAAAACACTAATTGAGTTAGTTCCAAACTTAGAAAAAGACTGCTCTTTATTTTCAATCTTAGCTTATTTATAGCATTTACAATATTTATTTAACAACTAATTTCACCATAAGGCGTTTGCATTGCATCATGCTATGATGAAATGCCAACGTATTGGACAAAGAAGTTATTTGACACCCTTGAATGGAATTTTCCATTCAAAGCGGAAAAAATATATCAAATTTAAATTTTTGACAAAGAAATCAAATGAGTCATCAATTATGCAGCTGGATAATTGCTGAGTTTTCAAAATTGCATTATGAATCCGCAAGATACAAATTAATAAGAAATATTGTTTATATTTATTACTGTGCCGCTATGTGTGGTCTGTTAATTTTTCTATTTGATTCAATATAACTTTTTATGTATTTTCTTGAATTTATATATTTCCGTTTTGATAGGCAGTTTTATGCGGATTTTTGAATTTAATGTAAATGTAAATTACCAAAATTATGCACAAAATTATGACAATATAAAAAATGGATAAATGAGTTTTGACAGACTTTATTAACACCCTTTTATTAGCTTCACCTGTATGTTTGTATGTATGTATGTTTGTAACCGACTCCTTTGGACTCGATTTTGACCCACTTTAAACGGACAGATTTAATTCAAAATTTGTACACTTATCAAGAATCAGCGACAATATAATAATTTCATAAATTTATCTCATTATCTTGGTTAGGATCGTCAAGATTAAATAATTTCCTCACACAGCCAGCCTCTGTGTGAGAGCAAGTGAGACAACTGCGCTGTCTGCGCATGCGTACCGTCTACTTACTTTCCGACTCGATCACTTGGCTTATTAGTGTTAATACATTCTATCCCTATCAGTTGCACAGTTGGCCAAGTGGGCTAAGGCGCAAGTCGTAGGCGCGAGACAACGAAATTACCAGACATGATTTCAAATCCCGTCTATGACTGAAAATAAAGGATGTAACGCTATCTTCCACTGCTTGACCGCGGTACTGATATTAATTGCAAAGATGAATTTGGCAATACGCCACTTCTTTTAGCAGTAGAAAATAATCATTTCGATGCTGTACGAGCATTATTCAATCGCGGAGCCGATTGTGAAAAATAATTTAAATGTTACACCACTGAGTCTCGCTGGTTATATTAGCAAAATAGAAATCTTTGAATATCTTCTAAATCGGGGTGCCACTGTTAATATAACTTGTGCTATTAATGACTTAGAAGATTACTCGTTGCTGCACCTCGCTGTCGTTAGTAATAGTAATCACGGAAAAAGGATGATCGAGTATCTTCTAAAAAAATATAGTTTAAAAAAACTAAAAAACACGCTTTTAAAGCATATCAAACTAAAAAGTAAAAAACAAATATAGTTTAAAAAACTAAAAAACACGTTTTTAAAGCATATCAGACTAAAAAGTAAAAATAATTCTTAATATAAGTTGAAAATAATAATGAACAAAAAATACTAGTATTATTGTGAAAAAGCGTGGGCACTCTATGCCATATTTTTCGTCTATCGAGCAACCCACACTTTTTCACAATAATACTAGTATTCTTTGTTCATTATTATTTTCAACTTATATTAAGAATTATTTTTTACTTTTTAGTGTTTTTTAGTTTTTTTTAAACTATAAACTGTTTATTGTTATTTGAAGCTCATCTAATTTACCATTAATTCTTATAAAATCGTCATGGTCTGGGGTACCTGCTATCCAGTTCCAAAGTATTCCTAGTTCATTAATACCTCTCTTTTGTCTGATAGGTTTTTGTTTTAGTTGTCCTAATAATGTTTCAATTACCAAAATTTCTGACTCAGTTTCTGAATTTCTGGTTTCTAGCTCATTATTATTGTTATTATTTTCGTCATAATGAACATTGTTATAAAAATTTTGTTTCTCCTGTTCTATAATATTTTAAAAATATGTTAAGTTAGTGATGTGAAAAATATCTCCATAGTTTTCGTAAATAGATACATCTCCATTTTCAATTAATATGTAATCTTGTCGAGTGTAATCTACAATGTAAGCTGTCATTAAGCCGATTGAGGTTGTAATTACGAATATTATTATGTTGAAAACATATAAGCAATTAAGATTTTATATTGTCTTTATGTATAATTCTATCTCTATTATTAATTATTGTCTTATTTCCTAGATTTTCCTTTACTTATTGTCTCTATATCTAGGTTTTAGTTTGTTTCTTTCCCCTATAACTTTTTCATAAACAATTTCTCCTGGTTGGAATTGTTTTTCTATTCTATTCTTACTATGAGTCGCAAGCATTTTGTCCTGCGCCTGTTTGAGAATATCGGGTAAATTTTCATGATTTATTTTATTGTGAAAGGCATCTTTTGGCTTCAATTTCGTCACTGAATGTATTGTCAAACTATACCGTTGACTTGCTCTAAAAATTGCTTCTAAATCGCTGACTATATTATATACTTCCTTTATGCATCTAGCGATTTATATTATTGTAGAATGAACTCTCTCTATCTGTATTAGTAGTACTGTGCCGTGGATCACAAAAATAAATTTCCACATTTAATCTCTGCATTAACGATTTAAACTGGTGTGTTGTGAAATTTGGTTCATTATCTAACGTTATGTGTTTCACATCTGGGAAAGCTTGGNATCTAACGTTATGCGTTTCACATCTGGGAAAGCTTGGAGCAATTCCCAAACTTTTTCCTCGATATTTGATTTATCTTAAATATTTTTTAGAACTAAAAATTTTGAGTACGCGCCCATACACGTAATAAATTTAAATTTTTGAGCATAAAAAATGTCTATATGCAACTGTTCTCCTTCTTTATCCGGAATCGGTGCTTTAGCAATTGGAATCTGTTTACGATGACGGTCATATTTGTTCTTGTTACAAGTCATACAATTTCGTACATATTCTTTCATTTGTTTTCGTATTTCAGGCTAATAATATAATTTTTCTATCTGCTTAATATTTTCTATATGGCTTCGATGCGCTCTGTTATGGGTTTGTTCAATTATACCAGCTTGGTCGTTTCTGTTAGCGACGTCCATAGGAAATAGTTTGGTATAGATACATTTATTCTGGAATGTTTCGTTAAGAGGTCTTTGTATTTCGTACAGATCTTCAACTGTACAATGAATCGCTGTTACCAAGTTAGGTCTTATATATTCTTTTAAAATTGTGAGAAGATTCTCAACTGTGTCGTATTCAATCAAATGTCTTTAATTTCCAAAATTTTCGATTTGTTCATGAATCGTGAAACTGTTTTTACTTAATATTATTTGTTGTTTGAACTGATTTAAAGGTTTTTTCGTTACTTGTATAAAAAAATTATCGCTACTTTGAGCTTAGTGTTGTGATTCATCATCTGGTGATTCACTTGATAAATTGTTTAATTCAAGGCGTGATAGTGCATCGGCTGCAATATTTGTTTTACCTGGCTGATACACAAGTTTCGGGGAAAACTCTTCGATAAACGCATGCCACCTTTTCATTTTGGAATTTGGGTTGCGGGTTGACAATGCAAATGTTAATGGTTGATGAACTGTATGAATTTCAAGATTTGTCACACCATACAGATAGTTACGAAGATTTTTTAATGCCCATACGATGGCGTATAGCTCTTTTTCGTTAGTGGTATAATTTCTTTCTATTCTCTTAAGAGTTCTGCCTGCTTCATCAATTTCGATTATTACTTTTTCCGACATATTTTTTGAGACCCTGCCGTTTTCTGCCGACAAGTATTTTGTCAAAGGCTTTGCAATCGCCGCGTAATTCTTAACGAATTTGCGATAATAACATGTGATGCCCAAAAATCCTCTTAATTCCCGTACACTTTTTGGTAGCGGATAATTACGCGTTAACTCGATTTTATGTGGATCTGTTTTAACCGTATTTTGAGCTATAACATAACCCAAAAATTCTATTTCGGTTTTAAGAAATTTTGGTTTTTTAAGTGAAATTTTCATATTAGCTTTTCTAAGTATTTCAATTATTTATTCCAATTCTTCTATGTGTTGTTCTAAACTTTCTGAAAAAATAATTATATCGTCCATATAAACATGACATATTTTTCCAATTTGATCGCGCAATATATCGTCCATTGCTCTTTGAAAAATTCTGGAGGCATTTTTAACCCAAAAGGCATGCGCAAGAACTCATATTTTCCGTTATTGACAGAAAAAGCTGTATTTTCTATGTCGTTTTCGACATTAAAATCTGGTGAAAGCCGGACTCTAAGTCAATACTTGAGAAGTATTTTGCTTTCCCTAAACTTGACAAAATCATATTCGTATCCGGTATAGGATAGCGATCGGGAATGGTTTTCTCGTTTATTTTTTTATAATCGATGACCAGTCTGAATTTTGGTGAGCCATCGTCATTTTTAACCTTTTTTGGTACCACCCGAATTGGTGAGTTATAAAGACTTCTACTTGGTCTTATAATCTTTTCATTCAACATTCTGTTGATTTCTTTATTTACAAAAGAATTTACAGAGAGAGGATAGGGATACTGCCTGCTCCATATAGGCTCCTTGCTCTCTGTCCTTATTTCTGCTCTTACATCAGTTCTAAATGGAAAACTTGTGTCCACTTCAGGATGTGTTTCACTGATTTTATACTTTACGTATTTTTTCAATTTTGACAATTCCTCATTTTCAAGTTCACATTTGTAATACGTTATTTCTGAGCCTCTTTCGCCCAGTATTGAATATTTATCAATTTTGCCGGTAAATTCGTCGGCTGGAGCTAAAGGATCTTANCACATTTGTAATACGTTATTGAATAATTATCATTATTGCCGGTAAATTCGTCGGCTGGAGCTAAAGGATCTTCATGTCCTAAAGCAAAATATTTTTCCAATAATATATTGCCAGTAAAATCTTCAGCTGGCTTTATGGAATCTTTATGTTCCTCAATGTCAATTTTTTTATCGACCGTTTTTATGGAAACTTTATGTTCCTAAATTTTTTCATCGGAAGCTTTATGTTCCTTGATTTTTTTATCGGAAACTTTATGTTCCTTAATTTCTTCAACGGAAGCTTTATGTTCCTTAATTTTTTCGTCGGAAGCTTTATGTTCCTTGACCTTTTTATCGGAAGCTTTATGTTTTTTAATTTTTTCATCGGAAGCTTTATGTTCCTTAATTTCTTCATCGGAAACTTTATGTTCCTCAATTTTTTCATCGGAAGCTTTATGTTCCTTAATTTCTTCATCGGAAGCTTTATGTTCCTTAATTTTTTTATCAGAAGCTTTATGTTCCTTGACCTTTTTATCGGCAGCTTTATGTTTTTTAATTTTTTCCTCAGAAGCTTTATGTTCCTCAATTTCTTCATCGGAAGCTTTATGTTCCTTGATCTTGTTATTGGAAGCTTTATGTTCCTTGATGCCAATTTTTGTATGGGCTAGTTTTTTGGAAACTTTATGTTCCTTGATTCCAATTTTTGTATAGGCTGGTTTTTTGGAAACTTTATGTTCCTTGATGCCAATTTTTGTATCGGCTGGTTTTTTGGAATTTTTTTGTTCCTTGGTTTTAATTTGTTTAGGAATTTTTTATTACATTTATTTCTTAAATCGCCGGTAAATTTATCGGTAGTTACCTTGGAAACTTTCTGTTCCAAAGGGTTTATTTTTTGTTTATTGCCGGTATTAATATCGGTAGTTACCTTGGAAACTTTCTGTTCCAAAGTATTTATATTTGTTGCATGAATATTAATGTTCATGCTATTTTCGACACGTCGATATGCGCCTCAATCATTTTCAACAGATTATACCCCAAAAGAAGATCGGATTCCATGTTTTCTATTTCATTAAAACCTGATTGACTCCAAATGGACTTATCAAATGGTAATATTTAATGATTGAATAACCAGTGTTTACCTTTTTGTAAATGGCTAATTCGTTCCTATTTTCATATACCCCCTACCTAATATAACATGAGGTAGCCCCTGTATCGACAAGAGCTTTTAAATGTTTGCCTAATTTGGCATTTGGAGGATGGTTCCGTGCGCAGAATGGAGGATGGTTCCGTGCGCAGAAGTGGAAAACTTTTGACTGCCATTCACCTGGGAGTGGCCAGAAGCGATTCTTGTGCGTACGGTTCAAATCGCAGCTCACAACGTCCGGATATTTATATCCACGTATCCTCTGGGTAGCAACCAAACACCCGTTT